GGACCAACCCTGCCCTTTCTAATTCCTCCTTCTGGTTCATCAGCCTGTCCCAACCACCATCATCTCTGCTGCAGTGGCTCCTCAGCCTTGTGGTGGGCTGCCCTCACCGGGGGCACGTGGCCATCACTAGCTGCTGCTCTCCCCCACCCCATCCCAGTCTCCTAGTTCAAGACTGAAGGGCAGCCCTGCCCTAAAAAGCAAACCTTTGCACGACTTGACCAGGTCATTTGTCACGGTGCTTTTTTTTTTGTCTCCTCTGCCCTGTAGCTCGTGCTGCAGCACAGGATCCTCTTCCACCTTGCATCTCCAGGGACTGCGGTCCTGCCGTGCTCATGGCACGGCTGCATTTGTCTTAAGGATTGACCCTTCAGTTATTATTAGCCTCATGGTCACCTCCAGCACCGCCTGTCATGATGAATCAGAAATAGAATCCTCTCTGCATCACAGTCCTCGTTAAACCGACCATCCCCTTCTACCTGCTGCAGTCTTCACCTCATTATAACTCCATTACCTTTAGCAACAACCCCATTACCATCCATTATCTTTCTTATCTCCTTTACAAGGCTGTTATTTGCACCTCCTCCTTTACAGCCATCCCCTCCTCAATTACGATTCCATTATCTTTATTACCACCCCATTACAGTCATAATTATTCCCATTACAATTTTGAGATCTGCATCTCCATCCAGACAAGTCGGTGTCTCCATAACCCCATCACCAGCCTCTCTTGCTCAGTGTTCCTCATTGCCTTCATCCACCTTCCCTGCACTCGTAACTATCTCCATACCAATGGTTCTATTCTAATTATTTTTCATTATGGTTTTATAGTCTTTTGCTGTTATTGCTTCCTTTATCAGCCGTTCTCCTCTCCCTGAAGTATCATAGTTGGAATGGGTACAGGGGTGGGAGCTGAGACTCAGGTCAGTGATATCATACTGATTTGCACCAGCCCTGAGCAGGTACTTACACCCCATCCCTGTCCTCCTTTGCAATTCCAGCACTTCATCTTCATTGCAGCCCTAATTACTGACGTTATCTTTCCGTTATCCTTCAGCTCATCTCCGTTGCAGCTTCCCTGGCTGGCATGATCACCTCCGCCAACCGGTGGTGCCCCTCCTCCTCCTCCCTCGGTGGAGGAGCATCCCCAACCCTTTGAGTTTTCCATACCTAGAGCTGGACAATGGCTCTAGGGACATTTTTTTTTCTTTTAAATGAAAAGAGTATCTGTGTGATATTAGTAGAAGCGGTTTTCTTTCAAAGACTTATAAATTCTTAAGGTGCAGCCCAGAGCACTGCATCCCAGAGGAGCTGTGGAGTTTCCTTCCCTGGGGATACTCAAAAGTCATCTGGAGATGTTATGAGTAATGTGCTCCAGGAGTCCCTGCTCGAGCTGGGAGTTGGACTAGCTGACCCCCAGTGCTCCCTCCTGACCTGAACCATCCTGTGATGCCCTTGGTGTTGCTCTCGCTGTAGTTCCAGCTGTGTGCCCACCCCAGGCTCTGCCAGACCTGCCTGCGCTGCCCCCACACCACTGTCATCTTCCATAAGCCACCCTGGGAACTCGGGGGCAGCCCTTGGAAGCTTTTTCATCAGCAGTAAGAGGAGAAAAAAAGGCTTCTTGGCTGGCACAGGGTGGGTTGTACCCTTTAAGGTGCCGTGGAGGAGTAGGGTACCGTGCTATCCCCTATATATACTCAGCTATCCCGTATATAGCCCTGGTGCAGCCGAGGACAAGTGCCCTGCCAGCGGGTCTGGTGCCCACACTCCTCCAGAGGACAGTGAGAGATTGGAGTGGTTACAGAGAGAGTCACAAAACTCCCCAAGGATGGGGAAACTGCCAGCTCTAGAGAGCTCGGGCTGCTTAGTTTATCACAAAGATTGAGAGGTGACTTCATGGCTTCCTATAAGAACTGTCAAGGCAGGGAAATACTTAAGAAGGTACTAAAGAGCCCTTTACGGCGGGGAAAGGCAGCGCGGGAGCGATGGCCGGGAGCTGAGGCAGGCAAATTTGGATGAGTGATGCACCGTGTGGGGTTTAAGTGAGAGCGATGCCCATCTCCAGGAGACTGCGAGGGGGGTGTGATATTTCTTACATTCCTAAACCTAGCAGAGGGGCCGGGCTGGTGGCAGCTTGCAGGTAATTAGCAGCTCTGGTGTAAGAGGGGATGTAGCTCGTGTCGGAACGCCCCCGGGTTATTTCCCACAATCGATAAGCTTCGTAAATAATGCATCCCCCAGGGGGAAAACCCGCTGCTGCCTTGCGCTTATCAGATTTTGTACTCGTTTGGCTTAGCAACGCCAAGAGGGAATAGGGCTCAGAGGGAAAAAGAGGCTATAAATGAGTACGGGGATGTGTGGGGTGGCCCCGGCACAGCCAGGGAGCTGTGCAGCCCCCGCCGAGATGCCACTGGGGAGCCCCGGGAGGGGAAAGCTAATTAAAAGCTAATGAAGGGGGGTGAGCTGCCATGCAGGGGCAGAAAACAGCTCCCAGCACCACACTGTGACCCCCCTGCAAAACTTGGGGGAGTTTTTCCTAATTCTGGCTTGGTTAAACGCTACCGAAGAAAGGGAGATGAAGCAGTTAGCATCTCTCTCCTATTATTTGTTTGCTTTGCTGCTTGCAAGGGCACCTGACAGAGCTGAGATTGGTGCAAACCACGGGGCAGTGCCCTCCCTGAGGGAGGGATAGCTGGCACTCTTGCTCTGCCACTCCCACAGGGATTTGGGGAGAGCGTTTAAACACTCACTGATGCCCTCTCCACATCTCGGAGAGGGCCTGGGGAAGGCTGAATGTAAGACAGGGTGGCAGGAAACTTAAGCCCTTTTGGGGTCAAGGAGAAGGATTTGACTGAAGAATTGAGAAGCAGCACCAGGATGGAAACCGGTGCTTTTGGGTTTAATCTGTAGCCACAAGTTTAATTCATCTTAAAAAGAATAGCCTGGGGTTGCCTGAGAGCAGAGGGAGAGCTGCTTGCCTGCCACGACCTGCCACCTGTACTCTGGGGTTTAAAGTAAATAAAAGCAAGGAGCTGGCAGGAAGCAGGCAGTGTGGTGGAAAACACCTTTGGGATTAAAACAGCCCCCTCAGTGGGTTCGTGCTGCCCAGGCTGCTCACTGCACAGCCGAAAGGTTTAGTAAATTAAAAGAAAACACAGGTTTCCTCGTTGTAAAACACAGAGTTACGAGGGGCAGTGGAGCACAGAGGTTCTTATGAGCTTCAAGGAGATGGAAATTTTTGGCCAGGTCAGTAAATAATCCCAGGGTTGAAGCGAGGTAGCACCGTTTTCCACAGAGCCCCTTATAAGGGGCTGATCCCGCTGCTTGGCAGCCCACACTCCCTATCAGTGGGTGATTTCCACCCTGCACGGACAACCTTGGACTGCAAATAATCCATCACCTCCTGGCTGGGACCCGGACCGGGCAGAATGGCTTTTATCACCCCCTCGTTGCAAACCAGTTGCAAAGGGGAGCTGGGGGTGCCGGTTCTCCAGGAGGGAGGTGCTGGGCTGTGCTTAGGAGCGAGCACGCTGCAAACTGCCGGGCTGAGAAGGGAGTGCCTTGGGGAGTCTTTAACTGCAGCTCAATTACATTAGTGATACACCAGCACACCAGCCGAGGGGATAATTTACTGTCTCCAGACAGATGCTTTTACTCCTTGCAACAAGACAAACCCAAAAGCCAGCACGGCCCCATGCAGGCGCCGCCCGCGCTGGGGACTCCCGGTCCCCAAGCATCTCCAACGGGTCAAGAGCTTCTGATCTTTCCTTGCAAAGCATCAGCCCCAGGGGCTTTGCTGATAAGTGTTTTTCCATGTGTGCCTGGCCCAGGATTACCCGTGTAAAGCCCTACCTGTAGGGGTAAATTAATATTTGCTCAGCTGCTCTGGAGGGGTTGGGTTTGCTCCCTGCTGCCCCGGGGAGGATGTTTTTTTGAGGTGGGATGGATGCTCGCCGGTCTCCACCAGCTGGAAAGCTTTGCTCTGGAGCTTGGCTGCTGGATCACTGAGTTGTTTCATGGTTTAAATTTCAAGTTTTGTGGGGCTGGCACCATCTCCTGGTCTAATTTTGCCCCTAAACCACCACAGCAAACCTCAGCAGCCGCTCCAGGGATTTAACCTTGCTCACCTCTGGGAGATGCTGAACTGGGAGCAGTGTTGCACTGCAAGGGCAAACAGGAGCCAGCACATCCCCATCAAGGTATGTCTCCACCTCCAAAAAAATTCCAGCTTTCCCAGGCTCATGTGGCTGGGGCTTGTTAAAGCTTTCCATCCCCCCCCAGGGCTGCTCTGGGAGCTGGAGCCCAGATGGTCTGAACAGATTACTGCAGCCTCCTGGGCTATCCATCCCGGGCACTTTGGCAGGCCTGAATTTCCTCCAAATGACAAAAATAAATAAAATCTCTCAGCATTAAATGCTGGGAAGCCCATGAAAAAGCTGTGTACACAATGAAAACAAATATATGGTTAAATAACCTCTCTAACAGTATTTCTATAAAATGCCTCTCTAAATAACGCCAAGTGAGAGGCTCACTCCATCCTGATTAACCTCAGTTGGGGAAGATTGTCTGCATCAAATCATTACCATCAGCCGATTAAAAATGAATTAAACTGAACGGAAAACAATTCCCCAAACGTCCCTTCTCCTTTCCAGTTCAGGGGCAAAATAAAAATGGCATTAAACCCTAAATGCTCCAGAGCAAACGCAGCACTGAAGTCACCCCAGCCTGAGGATGAAGCAGGTGATGGGGACCTGGGATAGGGTGGGATGGAATTGGATGGAGTGGGGTAGAGCGGGGAGGAATGGAATGCTTGGCTGTGGTCACCCCATGAAGAGGCACCAGGACCAGGTGTAAGGGTCATAAGGCATAAAGGGGATGCTGATAAGGATTGATTAAAACAATCCAAGCCATCCAGTCCCTTGCCACTTGAACAGACCCCTTTTTTTTGGACTCAGCTAAAGTGACTTTTTAACATCTCTCACTTATTTTCGTTTTATTTTCAGAAATCCCAGCAGACCCTTGGAGTCAATATATCCAAAGGAAAGTGTGAAGTCATGAATCTCATGTGTTGGCTGGATAAATCCATTCCAACAGGAACATGTTACAGCACTGAAAGCCAACAGGAGATGCTCTTTCACGGAGCAAAATCCCATCCCAGTGTATTTCCAGAGAAAACATTCCCAGCAGCATCACTGGTGAGCACTGAGGAGAGGGAGATAGTGGGCAAATCCTGTGTTTGGTACTCTGCACCAGCACCCTCTTTTCCAAATGGAGCAATCTCCGAGGGAAAGCCCCCAAGTAATGGAAAGGCCTCAGATATTCCTTCTTTGACTTATTTTTTAGTCATTCCCATTTTCTCAATAACTTTCTCAAAACCTGCATAGCAATTGTTGGGTCCCATCAGCATCCAGCAGGTGCTCTGAGGTCCTCTCCAACTTGGCATTGAACAAGAGTCATCCTAAGCTGGAACAAATAAGGAGAAAGATCCCAAAACTTTGGATGTGAGGGGGTGCATCCCCTGCACCCTGAAGTTGTGCTGGAGACACTGCTGCAGTGTCCCCATGGTCCCCTACAAGAGCCAGAGAGTTCTGGATCTCAGGACAGGCCTCCTGGCAAGATCCACATCCCCAACACTTCTTGGACACAAACCCACATGTTATGAAGGACAGTCTAATGACTAACTCTAATTCCTAAGAGGAGTATATCATCCAGATTATTTTACTTTTTGGCCTTCACTGAGTGTCTGTGACATAATAAAGAAGAATAATTGACAACCAGAGACCTGCCATCCTGACACTTTAATGACAGCCTATTTTGAGACACCAGAACTGCAACTCAGTGGTTCTAGAAGTTGTAAAAACTGCTGTAAAAACCAGTCTCTGTCCAAGCAGTTGTAAAAACTTGTCTCCAATAATGAGGGGGCACGACTGCTGCTGGGTTCCTTGGCATGTGGGTGTCCCTGGGATGAGGTGATTGTACCCCATCTCCACAGCACCTAACCCCATGGGATGCATGGGAACCCAGTGGCTGTTGGGGAGGACAAAGCAGCACCAGGGTGGGCTTTTTGTCCACCCCAGCCATGCTGTAAAGAGAGCATTTAATCCCCTTGCTAGTGACAGAGAGGGGAGTTAGCCAAGAGCAAAGCTGGGCACGGCGAGGGCTTGCTCCTCCGTGAGATGTCAAAAATGCCTCTGGAGAGGGGCAGAGCAAAAAGCACAAAATCTCCCTTATCCACAGCTTTCCAACACCAGGACATCCCAGCATCTTCCCCACAGTGCTGGCACCTTCAAACCTGCAGAAATCCCCCGCTCTTAGTGTTAACAGGAGCAGTGTGCATGCTGTGCATGCATGCATATATATTCTGGAGCACCCTTTCGGGGTGCAATGCAATTAGTAGCACAGCCCTGCCAGGGGCTCATTAAGGGCCAGGGAAGGCAGCATGGGGCTGCAGCCAGGAATTAGCACCGAGGTGCCACTCGCTTTGTTTCAAAGAGCTCTTTCGACTCGGGCCATAAAATTAATGTCTGAGCAGATAGCTGGGAAAATAAGAGGCTGTATAAAGCAACTTGGTGCTTGGCAGGGGAATTGAGATGAGTTGCATTTGGGAGACGCTGGGGTCTGATTGTATTTCTCTCCCCTCCGGAGCTGCTGAGTGCCCTGGCACAGCAGGTCCCACATTGTCATCCCTCCACCTCCGACCCCCAGCTCTCCCTGACCCTCAACTCCCCACTACTGCTCTCATTCTGCTTCTTATTAATCCACCTGGCTTTTGTCTCGGTTCCCCCATCCCTTGCACATTTGTCCAGCCCTCCAGCCACTCAGTCCTTGCTTTATTCTCTGTCTCTCGTGCCCAGCCTCTACCTTTTGCTCCTGGTTAGAGCCTTACCTATTTATATGCTTAACCTTTGCCTCTCTTTCCTCTGTCTCTTTAATCCACACATCGATCTCATTTATGGCCTCCATCACTCATTACCTGTGAGCTAATGCTGCCCCATCTCTGTGCCCTCTCTCCTAAGCCATCCTCAGCTCTGGCTCCTCCACACCCCAAGTCGTGGTGGCAGAAGACATTTTGGCACATGAGCATGAGGTGCAGGAACTCAGCATCCTCCCACCGAGGATGCTGTCCCTTCCCTGACACATTTTTTGCCCCATTTTGAGGGCTAGGCTTTGCCCTGTGCATGAGCATGAAGAAACCTGCAGTGGACAAACATGTGTGGGGTACCCAACCTCCTGCATCCCTTCACCTGTGGATGCTGGAGATCTGAGCACCCTGCAGAGGACAGTGGCTCTGGGGACAAAGCTCATTTCGGTGATGCTCTGAGGCTGGTACCCAGGGCAGCTTTCCCAAGCTTCCTGGCAGCTCAAATTCAAGCCTGGAGGATCATCAGCTAATGATCATCAGCTCAAAGCATTACCCCGTTGCTGCACCCCGCTGGCTGCTCTGGCACCCCAGCTCCATGCCTTTCCTTGCCCTCCCACCCCATCACTGCATCCCATAAAGTTCCCTCATGGAGTCCAGCCTGTAATTTTTCCGCCTCCTCTCCCTCCCCAGGTGGTGGGAATTTTCCTCTTGCTGATTCACGCCTCCGTCGCGTCACACTTTTTTTTAGCGCTGACGCTGCTGCGCTCATCCCGGGGAGAGGCTGAAACCCCAAGCTGCTGCCTCGGGGACTGGCCCTCTGCCAGCCACGTGCTGCCAACTCAGCCAAAAACCTGCACCTGTGCTGAGCAAACCCAAACCTCTCCCACTGCCGGGGTCAAACAAGGGAAATTTCAGGGGTTCATTTTCTCCCCGCTGCCCCAATCCCAACCCCGTGCTCCCAGCTGAGTCCCCGTGCTGGGAATGGCACACCTCCAGCTCCGAAACAAAAGCTTTTTTTAGTGTAAAAATCCTCTGGCTCTTCTATCTGAGCCATTAAAGTGGCATGAAAAGGTGGAGGGCCCATGGTGCATCCCTGGTGGGCTGGAGCATTTGCAGCCCTGGAAGAGTTTTGGGAAAGACAAGCATCCAGATCCCTCTGCAGGCACCTTTTTGGGGGGTCCAACAGCTGGATTGGGTGTACACCTCTGCTGATTTCTCCTTGAGAGAGTAATTGCTGGGGATTTCCCCCTTCCCTCTGTTTGTTCCCACCTCCCTCCATCCATCCATGCTCCAGATAGATCCATCTCCTATGGAGGGGTCTCTTGCCCAGCAGGACCAGCATCCCATACCACAGCAGGCACTTTCAATGAGCTTTTCCATTTATTTTCTATCCTGGGAGCTGTCTTTTATTTTTTGCTCCTGAAAAGGCTCAGGAAGCATCCTCCCACACAAGCCCCCTCCTTCCCAAAACCCCACGAATTTCAGCATCCCTGCCAACCCCTTGCCTGGCAGTAATCCTGCTTCTCACCAGCGGGGTATAGCAGGACCACGCAATGCCTGGGAATTCCAAGCAATCCAAGAAATTCCCACTCAGCAAAGGGATGCAATGGCCCTTGTGAACAGCTCAGGAGTGTCGCTGCCTGCCCAGCTCCAGCAAGGTCCCTGAGGGATGTTTCTCCAAATCCTGCATCATGGAGGAATGACTGCTGGGCACCTGGTTCCTCACAGGATGGGGATGACGGAGTAGCCTGCGGGCAAGCTCCCACTCCCGGATAGGGAAGGTGGGATGCATCCCATTCCTGCCTTGCCCTGGGATGGTGACAGTGGCACATCCCTGCAGCCAAAGCCCCTGGTTCAGTGCCTGTGCTTCAGCTTCCCTAAGCAAGATGAGGAATAAACTGAATAAGGAATTCCTTAAATAGACCTTAAATTAAATTCTTCATTTTGGAATTTCTCCTTCCTGGCTGGGGGGGCTCCGAGACGCACCCACACAATCAGGGCACCCTCGTGGGGTGAAATGAGTCTGGAAGGTCTCAGCCACACTGGGGTGCTCCTGGTGGCAAATGCTGCCTGTCCCCTGCCTGCACACTCCACCCGGGATGGGAAAATCCCACTGAGCTGCCCTGGGGCCAGCACAGCTCTGTGTCCCCCGTGGCCATCCCGGAGGATGTCTTCCCTCTCTCCTGTCATCCCGGTGAGTCCAGAGGATAATTAGCGAGTAACAAGCCCTACAGTCACAAAGTCAGGGTGGCTTTAGCTCTGCCGTGGTGCAAATTACAGGGAAATGGGGATTTTGGCATTCAGCTGCATCACCATCATTAGGCATAATCGCAAATTGCCCCTAACAGGGCTGAGGCTTCGGGCTGCAGGGAGGAAGGCTGGGGAATGCGAATACAGGAATTAGTGGGTAATTGCCAAGTAAGGAGGGGTGAACGCTGCTGGCCGGTGATGCAGCAGTCATGGGAGTGGGACACCATGGGGCATTTTTGATATCAAATACACCACAAATACATCATAAATGGAAGATTTTGGGTTGTTTCCCCCCTTCTTTGCATTAAAACATTTATTTCCGAGTGACCAGGAGGAAAAAAGGAAAGGAAGAGAAGGGTGGTGCCCACAAGCAGTTCACAGTGCCTCTGCCAGGCTGAGCCCAGGGCTGGGGCAGCCACAGCTCCCAGAGCAAAGGGCCGAGAGCTTTGCCCTCTGCAAAGAGGTGCAGCAAGGCCAGAAGACCCCTTGGGGTGTCGCTTGTTCCATCACCCACAGAGCCCTAGGGAGCCCCCCAGCTCAGAATGGAGCCCAAGCCAGCACTGAACTGCACTGATGCCTCTGATCTCATTTGGAGTGAGGGCTTTAATCAAGGTCAGGTGATGAGGAATGAGTTGCTGTAGCTATCTTGAGGATTTGGGAAGAAAATACCCCCAAAAGGCTGTTTTTTCACCCCAATTTGTTTTTTTTTTAGCTTAATAACGATGGCTGGTGTTCCCTCCTGAGCCTGCTCTGTTAGGGTCCATAGCATCCCAGACATCCCACCCTCAGATGCAGGACTTATCCCTGGATGGCTGACAGAGTCTGGGCACAGCCACGTCAGCGGCTTAGTGGGATTTGAGAGAGGATTAGACACCAAAGGGGATAACAAGAGAGGATAAAAGCTTAGAGGGGATAAAAGACCCCAGCACATTGGGGTGAGAGGCAAATACTAATTGCCTGGGGTCAGGAAGGCAGATTCCCTCCGGGAGGGTGCTTTATGGCTGTAGGCGGGACGCTGCTGGGGCCGGGCACACAGAAAAGCTGGGGTGGTCGCAGCCCTTCCCTGGAAAGAAATCTGAGATTTTTCCCCATTTTAGGCAGACAGGTGTGGAGGTTCATGTGCAAAAAGTACTCAAAATGGAAAAGAAGTCTGAAGAAAGCATCTCCAGCTTGGCATTGGCTAGTGGACCAATTGGTACCCCGGAGATTTAGATCTGTTCTAATTCCCTTGGTGTCCTGTTTAATATGACCCCAGCATTGGTACTGAGCAGGTAATGATGAATCCCACTGGTTTCTGCAGCAAGGCATTCCCCAAATACACTTATTTTAGGAGGAAGGGAGCCCATACTGGAGTGAATCTCATCAGCTCCTCCGTGCCATCTCCGCAGGTCCCACGCACACATCTTCCCTGGCAGCAGCAGGAGCAGCCCAGACACAAGTAGAGGGATGTGCTGCCTGCCCAAGCTCTCTCTGCCTCCAGGAGCCAATTTAGGGTCCCTCCCTCCTTGTCCCAGCCGAGAGAGGACTGCCCCACTGGCTGGATGGAGTGGACTATGTGCCTGAATTCAAGGAGAGGTCTGTCTGCACTGGGCACAGTGGAACCCAAACTCCTGGAGGCTTGGAAATAAACCCCTCTGGTGCCAACCCACTGTGCTCAGCGGCCTCATGTCAGGCAGTGGCTTGTTCAAAGGCCATCAGGGACAGGCTGCCATGGGCCGTTTGCCACAGCACAGGAGAGGGGTGTGTGCCAGCACCATCTGTGCGTGGTTCAGGGGGTCCCTTCTACCCCACTGGTGGTGTGGGTGGGATCCTTCCCTGGGATGGTGACTCTTGGAGGTTCACAGAAGACTGGGTGGCTTCAAATCAGCGCTGTGGGGTGAGGACCAGCTCTGGGGAAGGAGGGCAGGTTCTCCTCTGCTCTGCAACATGGTCCCTGACTGCACATGGTGGTGGCGTCACCACCCTGCCTCAAATCCCAGTGAATGAGGGAGAAGAGCATGTCCCTGGTGCTGGGCCAGGGTTTGCAAATGCAAGGATCCTCATCCATGGGCTGCTGAACTGTCTCCTCAATTCCCCCTGAACCCAGGCTGCACAGGCCCTGGGTATGAGTGATCCTGCCAGTGGCACCACACAGACGTGTGGGATGCAGTGACGGCACACATGTTCCCCCCTCCATCCTCCCATGGAAACCCGGGATAATGCCTTATTCTTCTCTGTGGCACAACCAGCTCCATCTCTGCTCTACTTTACCCAGCCTGGGGCAGAGGGGAAGAGGTCCTCTCCCAGCTCCCAAGTGATGCTCATCACAATCCTCATCCTGCTGCTTGCACAGGACCCACGTGCACAAGGCCTGGGCGATGTTAGAAATCAGTTTTTCCCAGCTGGATCTTGCTCTGCCCTTGTGGGGTCCCATATGAGGATTTCTCCTCTAGATAAGCTGTGATACAAAGGAGATGTGCAAGGGCAGGACTGAAAGACAGCACTGCTCCTACCTGAGAGCTGAAACATGGACTGAGGCTGAGATACAGATAAGTGAGAGATCACCTGGGATTTAACAGGCAGTTTTAAGACCAGATGTAAAACCCAAGCCCTCGCTATTTAGAGTCATTAAATGTCCCCTGGTTCATTCTGCAAAGGGTAGGCACATTAACCTGCTGGCCTGGCCACCCTCTGCTAACCACATCCTCATCACACCAATTCCCCTGACATTTGAAACTGCTCTTTTTTTCTAAACCTGCTGCCTACTCTCATTCCCAACCCAACATTCTGAGGCTGGGCATTTGCTTCTTGTCATTCCTGAGGATCTTATAGCATAAATGATGCTACGGAGGAAGAAGAAAAGATCTGTTATCAAAGCATCAGGGATAAGCACATCGCCATCATGAAGAGAGTAATTTCTGCTCCAATTAATACCCTAAAACTGCAGGGAGAAGCCCTCCCTTGGGAATGAGGGGCAGGGCAGAGCATCACCCCTGCCAGGGCTAACGCTGCCTGTTCTGCCTTTGCCACCTCTCCTGCCAGCT